TTATTTTTCTCACTGTGAAAAAGAGAATTCAAAATATAGTTATTGAAGTTACGTTTTATTTTTTTTAAGCATCGTAGCATAATAAAGTACTGAGATAAGGGGTGTTTATTCACTGGATCACCAAACGATGAAAAACCACTGAAGGAACAAGTGTTCCTTTACTGGATTTTTTTCTAAGTTAATGAAAATAAAAGATAAACTTTAATTTCCTTGTACCTTTAGTGATGTTCCGCATCAAAAGTATGCTAAAAATACGAAAAACAACTTTTAATCAGTGAAGGAACAGGCATGTTCCTTTACTGGGCATAGATTTCCCAGTGAATGAACAATATGTGTTAATATGTTGACACTTTAATTTTCAATTCATGATTACAAAAAATAGTTAACATTTTCCAAGTATTTATATGTTAAAATTTCAAGAATAGGCTTGCTTTTAAATATTTGTATGGCTTATAAATTCAAAAAGAGCATTAAAAAATACCTAAAATTAAGTGTTCCTTCACTGGGTGTTCATTCACTGGTAAGAGCTGTTCCTTCACTTGGTCTTCTTACTACTTGTTATTTGAACCTCCAAAACTTTAAAACAATATTATGTAAGTTTTCTACAATTTTTTTTACATAATTTGCAATTAGTAACAAATATGTTGACACTGTCATTTAAGTAAAATTACGGATATTGAAATTAATATGATTTCTTAAAAGGCAAGCGAAGCTTAAGTGTTCCTTTACTGGTTAGTTTACCCTACTATTAAAATAATAAAATTAAATGTTTTCTAACAATTGATGTTTTTTGCAATAATTTTTTTCTCAGGGGGTGGTCCGTGACTTCTTAAAATTTTTTAAAAGGGGTCCATTATACCAAAAAGGTTAAGAAACACTGCTCTAAATTGATAACCGCTTGTCAGAAAAATCCCAAATACTAAATTTGCCTTATTTGTGACCTATTTTGTCCTTTTGAATAATAAACGGGGCCAAAAAATCATGTTTTAAAATTCGTAGTCAAAGGGTTGAGACGAAATCTTTCACTTAATTTTTTTACATGTTCTATTAGTTATCTTTGAACATCAACACATTAAGTATCAATTGTTCTATTTTATGAATAAATTTTAATGTATTAATTTTAGAATATTATTATTATTTGAATATTAGCATGAATTATATATGTGTAAATATTTAATTTATTCAACCTATTTAATATTTTTCAAATTTATGATGCATTTTTATTTTCAACTTGATTTAATTAAACACCCACATCTTCTCTTATTAAATTTCAAAAGTGTATTTAATAAAGTTAGAAATTTTTTTTTAAACTTCCTTTAAGTAGAACATAGTTTTTTTTGTTTTTTAATATTAAGCTTTACAAAATATACTAATATTTTTATTTTATTGAAATTACAGATTCGAGCTTTCAATACTTTCTCCATTTTGGAATGGGTGTATCTGGCAATTGCTATAATAGCTCTTACTGCTTCACTTGGGATAACTATCCAAAGACTGACGGTTGAAAAAACTGATCAGAGTGATTTTACATTTGCTCTTCTTTTACTACTAACCATAGGTATAAATTTATCATTTATAATTTCTTACTGATGCGCTTTTATGTTAATCAATTTTATTTTAGCTTAAAAATTGCTATTGACAGAAAGGATCCATCATTAATTTGAAGATTACTGATCAAAAAAATTTTTTTATTTTATTTAAATGTAACTTTGAATGTCATAAAACTAAAATAGTCAGTAATATTAGTAATATTGTAGTAGTTTAGATTAGTAATATTGTTACTATTGGTTGCTTTGTTTTGCATGACTATTTTGTACAGGTTATTTTGTATTTTACTCTTTTTTTTTTCTTAACCAAAATTTTTATTTATACATAATGTTTCGTTTGAGTCAAAGATAGATTTCAATAAATAATAAAAAAAAGATGCCTAGATCAAATGTGATTTTTATATGTATGTTTTTATACTAACACTCCTTTCACAAGTGTGACTCTCCTTTTTTTCATACCATGCATACATTTTTTAACTATGGAATGAGATAAATTCATGATGACTGAAACTTCACTTAGTTGTTTAATTGTTTTCATGGGTGTTTCATGATTTGATTTCGTTGTCCTAATCAGATATGCTTTCTTTGTAAACATATTGAAAAGCTGAACTTAGTGTGATTTAAAAATGTTCTGGTTTAAAAAAAATTTTTTTTTCCACCAAATATATTTTGGATTTTTAGGATTGAAAAAAATTCAGATGAAATGTTTATGAAATATTACCAGTTGTAATTTTTTAGGTACCTGTATTTTTTCAATCCCTTTACACGCATGCAGAGCTTGTCAATATGCCTCGAATGTGTGTTTCGCTCCTCAAAAATTCAAATAGGAGTGAAAATACTCCTCGTAAATTCTGCTAAAATTGTTTTTTTTTTTTTTTTTCCATACTGTTAAAGAATGATAATTCCTTTGAAAATTTAGCTGATCAGTAAATACAGAGAGGGTGATAATGAATTTTTTTCATGTATCCTGAATACAGCATATTAATTACTATTATTCTGTCATTGCCAGTAACTACTGTCTGGCAATTGCAAGGCGAGCTATCAGTGTTTTTGAAAGACTCGCTCATTTTGGGAAGTAGACTGGATGGCAGTATTAGCTAAAACCATCTGCCAAAAGAAAACTAGGTTTCAGCTCAACGAGGCCCCAAACCATAGTATTATCTTCACCTAAAATAAATTGACCAGTCCAATACTAACACAACTGCCATCAAAAAGTCTTGAGTCAAGGACTGATCTCATGATTGCTAGACGGTACAGCTACAAGTAAACAAGGTTTTCCAACTCAAAATATTTTCCGAAAAAAAAAGAGCTTTTCTCGGGGATGAGCATTAGGGTGACCTTTCCAGATTGTCTAGTGAAGAATCATTCCAACATGAATGTCAAACATGCTATAAAATTGTAGAAAAAAAAAGTGTGTATAAATTTAAATTTTATGTACTTTATGAAATTTTTTTAATGTTTTTTAGAAATCTTTGTCTAAATCAACCTGTTAATATTGAAAAATAATTATAAAGTGTCAGAATAATATTTTTTGATTAAATATTCGAGCAATAATATTGTATAGTTTATTTCTTAGAAATGCACTCTCTGTTTTCATTCCTGTATTTTAAATTTCACTCCTCAAAAATTCTTAGAAGAGAGAAATTACTCTCTAAAATTTTTTTGTTGTTGTTGTTGATATTATGGCACAGAAGTGTGTCAAAATTACATCAGAAGCTGTCCTTGATATCAGAATTGACTGAAAGCACCACTTGTAATTGTTCCAAGTGCTATTATTTGGCTTCTTCTGAGCTATAGTTATAATTTACCATAAACATCTGATTACTTTATTTAACACAATTTATCATTTTTATTGGCAATTTTTGCATAGTTCCAATCAGGATATGAAAATTAGTTTCTTTGATATAGTGGAAATATTCCTTGAATTTTTCAGAAATTTGTACTTTCGTACAGCTTTTTCAATTATTGTATGTATGTATTCTTAATATATTATCTTTATTTGTTCTCTACTCTTTATGATAACTGTTACTGAATGTTTAATTTAAGTACTATTATTAAAATTTTTTAACTGCCAACTAGTTTTTTTTTTGTACTTTATATACATTAAAAATATTAATTCTTTTAATTTAATTCATTTATTAGTAATAATAAGTTTGAAATAAAAATGTCCGAATTCCTACACTGAAATAAAACTCAGTATTTTAAAATTAAATGTGTTAAAATTTAAATGCAAAAATAAAAAACAAAGGTAAAAGCATGCAAAAATGTTAAAAAATAATTTTTTAGACAGATACAGAATAACATTTAGTTGAAATTGGGTTAAATCAATTTAAATCTTACTCCAATTTGATTATTATTAAAAAATTAACTGTATTATTGTTTATGAATTGATATCATTCTTGAAAACTTAAGTTTTATAACTATTTTCCTTTTTCAAGGCAATATATCCATTGTGATGCCACAATAGGCATTACATGTTTCCTAGCTTTTGAAATTTCTTTAATTTCTTAAACTTATTTTTTTAATCATTCTTAATCAAATTGTAATTAAATTAAATCAATTTTTATTACATTTTAAAAGAAGCGAATATAAATTATTTATTCTTTTCTTATCGATCAATGTAATGTTCTTTATTTCTTACCACAAATATGTTTCAGTTACATGTTTATACTAATTCTCACAGTCTTGTTGGCGATTCCAGATTGCCAAAGTATTTTCAAACCTAATATTGATTATGGAGGGTTGGCTTTATTTTTTGTGATGTTATCTTTCGATAAATCACCAATCTTGGATCTCTTCCCATGCTCCTAACTTCCTGTTTCGGCCATTGGGGTTGCCCTTTTGGGCATCCTAGTCTTAACAGTTGAGTAAGAAATGCTAAATAAAATTCTCGATATCTTGTTGATCTCTATAAGGGATTTCTTTTCTTTATTATTTTTATATTTTTTAATTATGGCCATTTTCAATAATTAATAAATCAATTTTTTTATGCGATTTTATTTACTTCTCTGAGACAATTATCATTTTATTACATCCAAATTAAGATGTACCTGTAACAGTCATAAAAAAAAGAAGTCAATAATGCCACCTGTGCAAATCCATAAATTAATTTAAAACGATCACCATCATAACATCCATTGAAAGCATAAGCCAAAATCCTTACTTTTAAAAATATAGTGCATCCTTAGTGATGTTTAGAATCCTGTGTAAAAAACTAATCAGTCATGAATGACTAATGAGTCAATGAAGATTGTGACATTAATTAGTTCAATACGTTTCTAAAGTTATTGAATTTTGATTGAATGCTTGCTTTTTGAAATTTTTTTTTCTAAATAGTTTATCCTGAGAGTATAATAATTTTGTTAAGCAATTGCAACTGATATTATTCCTAACATATAGATCTAAAACTAAAATGAGTATTAATTACATAAACAGTTTTTACATATTGTATTGTTTCAAATAAAGTATATTTTTTATCCTAGTGTTTTGCTATCACTATGTCATTCATTCTATATTTACTGAAAGATGGGACGAGTTGATGGTTTTTGTAGTTAGCAATGTCATTGTTTTGTCATATTGCATAGCAAACTATGTGAGCCATGAAAGAGACACTATAAAACTTGTAAGTATTCTATTGAACTTTAAAAATACTTAACTTTATGCTGCAGCTTCTTTATATTTGATTTAATCAAATATATGTATAATCTATTTTTATTTTTAATGTTTTAATTTTGCTTTAACTAATTTTTCTTTTTTTTTTTTACTTTCTTATTTTCTCTTTTGGTTTTATATTTTAGCTTTATATTGTATAAAATAATTTTATAATCAGGCTGTATAAAAATGCAATTTTTAAGATAGGGGAGCACAACCTTTTTGAGTGAAGGGCCACTTGCACAGCAGGTTGGCTAACGAAGGGCCGCACATGTATTTAGACATGTTAATGACAAATGTAGTAATGTTTATTTAAACATTAGCGTTCCATTTTTTTTATCAATAAACTTAGTAATATCAATAACTTAGTAGTGTTCCATTATTAGAATTCATTCAAAAATAAAAAAACTTATACTTTTTTTTTTTACAAAAAAAAATTGCTATTTTTATCATATGAACAATAGATTTATCAAAATAAATAAACATTGAAGAAAAGAAATATTTTTTTTTATCATATCATGCAATATGAAAACTCATTTTAGAATTAAATTCTAATAAATTAAAAAAAAACTGCAATGCCCACAGAATGAAAGTAGGAAAAAATTTAGTCATAATTAAGTAATATAAATTCAAATTAAATATTTTAATTGAAGAAAATTTACAGGTTTTAAACAAAAGCCTAAAATAAAAACAAAACTGTGATAGTTCAAAATAAAATTCAATGCTTATTTTGTAATGTACTTTATTATTTTATTTTATTAATTATTAGATTTTTTATATCGTAAACATTTTCCTTTTTTTTATCGAAAAAGATCACTTAAGCAACAAAAAATTGAAATCTAAACTACTAACAGTGAGCAGTTTAAAAATTCACGTTTTCCGCCATTTTATGAATTTCTCAAGTTGCAATAACATTGCATTTAAATTAGGGAGGGATGTAACGAGTATTTGGCCCTTCTGTGAAAAATTCAGTTGGTTGAATGATCAGTCAAATATTTGGCAAAATATTTTTTAGAAATGCATTTTTCTAAGTTTTTTTTATTTTTGAATTTTTATAGATATTATTTTTTTTTTAAAATTATAATCAGACAAGTCAATTTTGTCATTTTTTCGATACTTTGAGAATTGAGAAGGATTTTTTCCCCATTTTTTGCTGTTTTTATTATAACCCAGCATTTCAACAGAACTTCTCATACTATTAATTTATTATCACTCTTTCCCTATACTGTAATATAAATAACCAGTAACATAGAAAAGTGTGATTTTCAGTATTAAAGTTTTGTTTTTGGAACTAAAAAAAATTTGTTTTTTCTGTTTTTCCTTTTTAGGCATTTTTATTATGACTCAGCATTTTTTTTAAAAATAAAGTTGCTAATAAAATTTATTTTATAGCAATTTTTTTTCTTCTAAAATTATAGCAATAAGAAAAATTTAAATTGCGATTTTCAGCATAAGATTTTCATTAAAAAAATTAAGAACGTTTTTTCTAACTTTTTTTTAAATAAAAAAAACTTTTTTTAGACGTTTTTTATTATAACGCAGTAATTTTTAATAGCATTTCTGTTGACTTAAATCTTTTTTCTTGGCTTTTTCTGGTAATTGGAAAACTGAGATGTTCAGCTTTAAAATTTTCTTTCAAAAATTAAGATTGATTTTTATGTTCTCTGTTTCTCTTTTCGACATTTTCAGAAACGTTCTTGATTGGCCTTATTTTTTAGAGTTAATTTATGAATACGTTTTTCCAGGAAATATTATTCTGAGCATTGAAATTTCAGTTTCAGTGTTGCTATGCTGCTAAAAGATTTTGCTATTTGGCCCCAAGTGTACGGCTTTCAGTCGATTTTTCTTCTTCTTTTTTTTCAACGAATATTTGGTTTTTGACCAAATCACAATTCATTACCACATTCGACCAAATCATATTCGTTGCGGAAAAAAAAAACGAAGGAAAAATAACTAGGATTTACGATAAAACTGCACCGAAATACCGTATCAAAAAGTGATTATTTAATTGCGCGTTTAACAAACACGTGTCGTAATAACATCGTAGTTAAGTAACGGGATCGTCAAAATCATGTGGAAAAAGTATAGAAATAATTGGGTGAAAAAATTACTTATATTTATGCTGAACTCAGCACGAATAAAGCGTGTCAAATGCACGATTTAAAATTTGCATGTCGTAATAGAATAATTGGAATTTTTTATGATGCGTGGGAACGCATAGCTATAACTGCCGAAAAAAATTGTTGAAAAAAAGAAAGAATTGCAAAAAAAAAAAAAGATAAAAAATCACTTAGATTTAAGATGAAATCGTCACAAATAAAGTGCACAAAAAAGTGATTATTTAAATGGGCGATCTGAAACTCGCGTCGTAATAAAAATTCGGGATTTTCGAAATCACGTAGAAAAGCGGAAATAACTTTAAAAAAATCATTTATATTTACGATAAAATCGGCTTAAAGAAAGNTTTTTTTCTTTCTACAAAAAACGTAAAATGCGGGAAATTCCGTAAATTAAAAACTTACAATCCGGGTAAAATTAACATTAGAGGTATACGGAAAAACTGGGTCCTGATGAAAAAAACGTAAAATGCGGGAAAAACGTAAATTCGGGGGACGTAAAATCGAGGTTTCACTGTAATTGATTGTGTCAAAACGTGATGACTTAAAAGTGCGGTTAAAAATTGCCCTTTTTTAAAATTTTTTTATTGTGTTTGGAAGCTCTCGCGGGCCGCACTTCAGTAGTCGAGGCGCCGCATTTGGCCCGCGTGCCGCAGGCTGTGCACCCCTATTTTAAGAAAATAATGCATTTTTATGGAGCTTGATTTTTACACTGCTTGGAATGCATTCTTCAGAGAAAATTTTCTTTATAGTTTAGTCAGGCTCTTTTAGGTTATACTTTAATAATGTAACATAATGTAAATTGTTTTTACTTAAATATCCCAAAAAGAGCTTAATACTAGAGCTTAATATTTAATACTTAAATTTATATATAATAGAGTTTTGAAGCGAGAGTTTGTTCAACAATGCAATTGGCTTTTTAGGAACAAACAGCTCTGTTTGTTCCTAAATTTTATATTTTAGCAATGAAAATTTCTATATATTTTCTTTAAATTCAATGGATTTTGTTTAGTTTTTATTGTAAAATTTCAGTTAAAAACTAAAGAGCTTCTTAGCGATATTAGAAAAACATAACTACAAATTGGCATTCTTGGTGTTCTTAACTTCATTCTATATTAATTATAAATGATTGTTATTTTGTAAATGATTGTTATTTTGTAAATGATTGTTATTTTGTAAATGATTTTTATTTTGTAAATGATTTTTATTTTGTAAATGATTGTTATTTTCTAAATGATTGTTATTTTGTAAATGATTATTATTTTGTAAATAATTTGTAAATGATTATTATTTTGTAAATAATTTTATTTTATAAAATTATATGAATTTTTTCTTTTCTTTTTCAGATTCGCTTGATATTCATCTGTGTTTGCAGTCCATTTTTAATTGGCGTTGGAGTGTTTCAATGCCTGCGATATTGCCGTTCGAATAATTTGATATATAATACTGTTGGTGCCATTTCTTCTTTGCAGAGTTCGTGTAGATTATATTACATTTGTAGCTCATTGCTAAAATTTGATTTGCAACTTCAGGTTAGTGGAGATAAATTTATTTTATGCTTTATTTTTATGTGCGCTAATCTACTTTATTTTTTTCATCTTTTACTAATGACATGGGTACTAGTAAATTGTTTTCAATTGTCCAGTAATTTTATATTATTGGTGACTATCCTAATTATCTAAAAATTGCTTAACAAGTAAAAAAAAATTATAACTTTTTAATTTCATTGTTCTCTATTTTTGTCTCTCCTAATTTGCATTATTTTTTCTTTTCATCTCTTACTAAATACATGGATATATATATCCAGGATACATATGTTCAAGGACACACTGACTTCTGATAGTTGGTGGCTGACCTAATTATCTAAAAATTACTTTATAAGAAAATACAATTCATAATTTTTTTATTTTATTATTCTTTTATAAATCTTGTATTTTTATAGTCTTTATAAAATAACGTTAGTGCATTTTCAGAGTAGACATATTGTTGTTTTATATGCCATTATGAAATATTTTAAGTTTTCTTAATGATATAATTATGTACTAAATCTGTTTACTCTGCATACTATATAAAATTTTTTATTTTACATGATTAAATTTTGGTTATGTTTCTCTATATTGGGAAATTATTTTCATTTTTCTTATTATTTTTTTATTTTATCATTTTTATTATTTATAATTTTTTTATTTATCATTTTTATTATTATAATTTTTTATTATAATTTTTTCATTATTGTAGCTCAGTATGTTGATTTTAGTCATGGGTAGAGGAGTGGCTAATATGGACTTAGAACAGAAAGTTATTCTTGGATCTGGAGTGCCTGTTACATTCCTTTTCTTCTTTGTTGGTATGTTAGGTGTAAGTATTAAATAATTCCATGGAAGTATTTTTATTGGTTGGATGGTATCGGTTGAATAATTAAAATGCTTTTATGAAGTATTGATTTTTTAAAAAATTTAGTAGAGACATTTGAATTATTTAACAAACAATGCTTAAGGCATAATATCAATGCTGCTTTTTTGAACTTGCCTTTTTTCACATACTAAATAGAAGAATTTAGACAGAATGTTTTGATTAGTTAAACGCATGTATAACTAGTTAAAACATTCTGCCTAAATTTTCATAACAATGCTCCATATTTTAAATTATTTATTTCTTTTAAACATCGACACATCATTAATTAAATAATTGTACTTAAGGCTTAGTAATAATGCTGTATATTTAAAATTGTAATTTCCCGTATTCACGCCATATGGCTCTGAAAATAAGTATCAAATGCAGAAACTTAAGCTCGGGGATTAAAATTCTAATACTCAAAGTATGTCTTTTTCCCTACACAAATTTATCATTAATTAAAAATTACTGCTTAAGGTTTAGCTTCCATGCTGCATTCAAAGTCGTTAAAAATTATATTTTATTAAATTACATATGAATCAGCAGTATATTATTAAATTATATATGAATCAACAGTATATCAAAATTATATGTAAATAAAAAATGCTTATATTTGACGAAAATATTAATGGTTATGTGTGGTTTACATGGAATCAAAATATTTGCAATCTTAAAAATTTTACTTTGAAAATTTTATTCTGTTAAACGAAAATAGTTTTAAACTATCTTATGTAGTAAACACTAGTTAGTTATCTATGTAGTAAACACTTAGTCAGGAAAGCTGTGTTTTTTAGTATCTATTCATGTAGTCAATTTGACTTTGGCTTTTAAAAAACCCAGTTTTTAAAAAAAAATTATCGTCTGGAAATAGTCTTTTTAACTTTTATTTTCTTTCTAGTTGCGGTATGAAAACAGATCTTTGATGGTTATATTTTATATCTTGGCTCTTTTTGAACCTGGTTACATTGTTTACAAATTTTATTATGTAAGTATTTAAATTTGTTTATTTTTTAGTTCTTTTAATGCTAAAACCTTTTAACGGAAAGTTTAACTATTTTAATTATTAAAACTTGGAAGTTTCTATTAATTTAGTGAATTTAATTATACAGTATACTCTCGACATCTCAAAGTTGAAAGGATGCTAAAATGTTTTTGAGATAAGCTCAGAACTAAATATATTCTAAAAAGTAGAAAATATATTCTAAAATATTACTCTAAAAAGTAGAGTAATGAAACCTAAGAATAACTTCTAATAAATATGTAATGATAGTTGACTTTAAGTTCAAATACAAAAATGATAATTTTATTTTTAAAGGGTAAGGACGAAAATATTCATGCCTTAATAGAAAATAATTGGTTCACAATAAACTTTTTATTAATTAATTGGTTCAAATAAGCACAATAAAAGATTTTTTTTCCAAAAAATACATTTTCTATTTTGAAAAAAATTGACAAAACAAGGTTTTAGAAGAAATTTTTTGACATAGGAATTCAATTTAACTTTAGGAGAATATATAATGCTTAGGGGAAAAATATTTTTTTGACATAACAAGGTTTTTGAGATGTTGAGAATATACTGTACATATAAGATATACTGATAACATTATCTTAATTGTTTTTTATTTGTATATGGAATTTTTGTATAAACACAGGCATTTTTATTTTTAAAGAATGTTCATTTGACTGTGAATGATGATTCTTGTGTAACATCAGAATCATTGAGCAATTTTATGCAAAATATATTACATGTTATTCTGTGCAATCATTCTAAAATCTATTATCAAGAATGAAATATTTCTTTGTTTTTTTTTTTAACTTAAAGGTTGATTTGCTACATTTCTGAACACTTTGCTCATTAGGACTTTTAACTGCAAACTGAGTTTTCAGAGAAATTGACTGAAACCAATTATCATAACAAGGCTTTAAGGCATGGAACTTTAATTAGTAAAAATTTTCATAAAATTCATTATAAATCATACAATTTTTTAAAAATTGTATGTCTTAAATACGCTTTCTAACAATGCATAAGATGACTAGTTGTATAACATTACAATTATAAAAGAATTTTTTTTTTTATTAAAACAAAGAATCACTTCAGACTTCTAAATTAGAAAAAGATTTTTTTTTCAAGGAAATTGTTGTAAAAATTTCATTTGCAGTAATTTCTTGCACAGGTATTTAAAGGAGAAACAGGTTTTAGCATAGGTTTACATCTAAGGGACACTAACAAGCTCACAGGCAGTTAGGAGACTGTTACTGTCAGTCAAATATGTAATGTTTTAAATAAATTTGTTAAAAATTCTGAAAGTATAATGTTTGAAAATGAAATGAAAGAAGATTTATATAGTTCAATTATTTAATAATTGATTATCTTGTAAATTGTTATTGATTCTTAAATAAGTCTTCCAACTGCCTGTGAGCTTGTTAGTGTCCCAAGAATAATTTAAAATTGCATTTTTATTTATTTATTTATAATTATATTTTTCAAATTGTTTGATGCTGTAAATAACTTCAACTTTCAACCAAACAACTCAACTCATTTCCGCAGCATACCTACTTTTGTTTTGTGTAGATGTAGAATTGATTAATGTTAATATTTAAGAACAAAAATGTCCAACTCTGGTGGTAGAAGAAAAGATTTAATCTGGTTATATTTTGATGAAATAAAAAATGATGAAAGGAAAGGATGCAGGGCTATATGTAAGAAATGTAATGTCATCAGGGGTCTGTCTGACAGACCCCTGATGACAATCATCCTAACTTTAGAAATTTCGATAATAAAAAAATAATAGTAATACTTGCTATATAGTCAATACATATTTGAATAGGCAGCTTGAGATAACAAATATAACTAAAAAAATACCACAACCTTTCTAGGACGTTTTGTCTTCTTCTGTAGAACTCCAGTTCGTTTTTTAAAATTTTATTTAAGAAATTTCAGTTTAGGATTATCAATAAAAACATGAACTTTTTTCAAAATTAAAAATACATTTAAAATATTATATTTGAAAAAATATTATAAAGCTGCAATGTAGGTAGTCAGAGAGATATGATTGATTCTTATTTGAATAATAAAACCAAGTGATTGGTGAGTGATTAAAGTGAAATTTTTTTACCCTTCATTTCTCCATTATCAAATATGACATTTTAGTGTGGTGTATTTGGATGTAAAAAAGCTTTACTTTGAAACAATCATATGAGTAAATATAGGAAAGTAAGAAAACAATTTAAACACTAAGATATAAAATTGTGAATTATTAAAACATCAACCTGGTTTAAACCAAAAAAACTGGGTTTTTTGCCAACCCTGCTTAGAGGTAAACCTATGTTAAAACATATTCTCCTTTAAGTACCTGTGTAAGAACTTATTCGCTAATTTTAGAAACATCCTGCATTATGACAGGATGGCATGCTATATTTCACTTTTGTTACATTATATAATAATAAGTATAACAGAGCAAAATATGCTATGTTTGACTTTTTAAAAGCTTTTTTTTTTTTAGAATGATAGTAGCTTTTTGATTTATTTGTAATTGTTTTTAATTTTAGACTGTAACAAATGAATCAGAAGTTGATGCTATTTATGACAGCACCTTTGTATGTGGATATTTTGCATTGGTTATATGGTTGCTATTGATTTGCTCCACAGTTTATTTTGCTTTTTACTACTTTGGAAAAGGACTCAAGGAAAAAAGTAAGCCAACTAGTTCTTATGTATCATTTAACATGTAATCTTTATAATGTTTTTAAGAAATTTTAAAAATTATTTGCTTAAATTTAGACTATATTTTTGTATTTTTTTAAAAAAATTATAAAATGACAAAATTTTTAAAGCATTAAAATCTTATTGAATGTAGAACTTGAAAATTCTCAAAATTTTCCCATGCCATAATATCTTTTTTGTGTGCATATTAAGGAAAGTATATGAATGTTTCCATTATTAATCTGTCTAAAATAAAAACGTAACATTAGGTACATCTAAACATGCCCGAGATATTTAAGTTCTCTTCGAATTACTTACAGAGGGATCTTTGTAATTTGTAGAGTTGTTAATAATCTGTTTTTACTATACATTCCCTTCACAATGCGCTTTTCTGTCACCACGCATTGTTAATATCTTGGTTTTATGTCTTCTTGATCTTGCACCTGTTTTGCTACATTTAGTTAAATATACTTTGCGTATTCTTATTGTGCTTTTACTTGTTTGTTAAGTTATTTTGAAATACTAGATTTTCATGGCAAGTTTGTCATAAAGACACTATGTTTCTTATTTTAAAAACACTAATAATTTTTGTTGATAACATAATAAATTTGTTAATAATAAAAACAACTAGTTTTACAAAGTTTACAGAATCTTAAGTTTGATTAACAAAGTCATTTACTTTGAGGTGAACTTTTTGTAAGTTATTAGTGAATGTTTTCTATAATTACGATGTAATCAAAATAAAGAATAACAGAATGTGTAGATACTGGTTATTTGCCCTTTGTGTTTACATCCGTACTTTGAATGTAACAGACATGTGATTTTTCTGCTAATTTGCGAAATTTCGCAAATATCAAGGTACTTGATTTGCATTCTTCCTTGAATCAAAAATTTTTATTTTGACAAAATTTTCTCAGAGTTCAACTTAGCTAAAATTTAACTTTCACAATTTTTACAAAGTTCTGTTAACAAGATATTTGTTGCTTCTTACCAACAACCCCCTTTTTTTCAACTGGAGTTCTCGTTCACGCCCAATAGTGATTTTTTTTTAATACAACTTTGGATAATTTTGCTAACATAAAATTTACAAGTTGTATTCACTTTTAGATGTGCTCGATTTATGCCTATACCATTGCAAAACCAGACGGTCTTGCAATGTTTTATCGGCAGTTATTGTTGCAATTTTTTAAAATCCCTTTATTTTTCATACAGTATTATTATGGCACATGTAATTCAAATCCCCTATTTAATTAGTAACTTTTTGACGCTATAACACTGATACTATATATTTTTTTCAGTTATTGCTACTGATTTTGAGGTTTTTAAAATCTCGACATTTTTTTCAAATGATCTTATTATGGCATGTGATATTAATAACAGGCTTTTAAGTAATTAGTTTTTGACCTGTTCAATTGGCACTGAATATATTGGTTTTTTTATTGATTTTCAGCAGCTATTGCTGTGGATGTTTTTTAAAGTCTTGAAGCATTCCTTGCAATATTATTAAGATGAGGGAATTATGAATTTGAGTATTCACTATTTAACGCTATGATAGATTTTTTAGCAGTTATTGCTATTGATTTTTTCATGGTTTTTAAATATATGTTTATTATATTTATTATTTATTACAAGTCAACTGTTTTCTACATTTAAATTGTATAAATATTACTTTCCTGTATAAAAAAAGATCTATTTTTCATTGAACAAAAGAAAGGAAAAAAAAGTCACGCAGTCGACTGATTGTAAAGTAGTAGTTCCAAGTAGAACACCGAAGTCAAGCATCACTGGCTGCTATCAGTAAGCGGTTGGGTGACCACTTTGATCAGTTTGCATAGAGACAGAGGGTGCGCAGTATTGGTCCTCATTAAACTGTTCCACCCTAAAGTTCTCGACTGCACACACCAGGTTGTCGGACTACCAAAGCAGGGGAGTTATCCCCTCATTAGTAGTCCGACATTAGTAGTAGGGGAGTATCCCCAAAATTGCGAAGGCATGTCTGAGGATCATCCTCAGGGATGTTTCACAGGCCGTCGCCAATAGCCCATTATGCAGCTCTAGTGCAACGTAAATAAACTACGACAATCATTAATTTTTAACTCTTTAAAAGAGGAAAACATATATTTGTTATTCTACCTTAACATAGCAGAGTTCCGTTAGCACTAAACGCTCGCTTATCACACCACACATTATAATTTTAATTCTTTCTGTTATTACGAGAAGGAGATGACGCCATAAGGTAATTAATTATTCCATTAATAATTACGATAGAAAAGAACAGTTTGCCAAATTCAGAAAGTGAGTTCAAAATATCTCCGACGCCAAATAATTTCAAGGTGAAGAGTAATGAAAAGATGGGTAATATCATAGGTTTGAAGAGAAGCTGAAAAAAGAGAAGCTGAGTTTCTAGAAAAAATTCAGATGATTTCGTTCTTCCAGTATTCAATATTATAAACTAAGAAGTACTAGCTATTATTGCCTACAAAGTGTTGTTATTAAAGATATTAACTATTATTGGTAATGCATTTCTTACTTTAAACTTATATTTTCCCTCACTTTCCCGAATGATAAGACAATGAAAGGAAATGCAAATATCAAGTAAAAAGGAATTTAAAAAAAACTTGACTTTCAAATTTACTGTCAAATTTCAATAAAGATTTGAAGTAGATGTTAAGTAAAAGTTATAAAAGCATTGTTATTAATGCATGTAAAAAAGGGAAATAAAAACTTTCATATAGCTTTTTAACGTAAAAATGTTAAAGAGTTTTAAGAAAATGCATGTCTCAGCTTGTTAGAGTAGAATCCAACTAAATAAATAAAATTTTTTAAGTACTAGTGAAAATTTTTTTATATTTTTTATTTAGTGTTTGAAGACAGTGGGGGATCACAACCAAGGAGGTTCACCAGCACATTCAGTGAAGCAACAACTTCAGAAAATGTCAGTGTCACTCAAGAACCTTAAAATGGCTTTGTATTGATATCTAAACGTGACATTACTAACATATTAGAGAGATATTTTAAAAATCATGTTGGTTATTAGAGAATAATTGTTTGAAGCCTTGTTTTTCAACTTTTCTTTATATTGTTTTTCTACTGGTTTAAATATGGTGAAATTGGAATCACAAAGATTTTAGAAAGCTGATTGTACTATTTGTAAATTTTTTTTTATGAAAGATAAAAATTAAAAAAATATTAAGAGCACATATAGTTAGATGTGAAGGTTGTTTAAAGTGGTTTTAGTTTAAAAAAAAAGTTGAAAATTTTTTACTGAAATTAATTTGAAATTATGAGATAAATGTATTAAATTTAAAAAAAAATAAAAAAGAATTTGAATTAAAACTGAGTTATTTAAAAATTTCAATATGCTATATTTAAAAATAAAAAAGTTAAATATCGATTGAAAAATTCTTTTATTAAAGAAATATTTGGAATTATAAATTTAATTACTTTTATTTTTGTAAATATAAAATGAATAAAATTTTGATTTTTTAAGCAAATTTTATTTTTAATTTGAAATAAATGCTTGTGATATTTCTCGTAGTTCGATCCAGTAGTTTAAAAATACTGAGGTCACATGATTCAAATGTAGCATGATCCAAAAATAACACTTCCTGTTATTTATTTTATCATGATGCTCAACAGAAATTTATATATATATTTTTATTACAATAGAATGAAAAAATTACTTGTAGGTATTATTTAGTCAACAAGTAATTAACCACCATATCAAAAAAGTATTAACCCTTTTACCATACATGAACTATGTATATTGATTATATTTTGGTTAATTTTACTTACTTAGGAAAAGGTACTTTAAAATCTGTATAAAATATTTTATTTAGCTAGTTTCAGTATCATTTGAGAATGATTGTAGATTTTTCGAAGGAATTAAATAATTTTTCCGTACTTTCTTTTTATGTATTTAAATATATTTGTTATATTGAATTGTAGAAGTGATTAATTCTAATTTATTATTAAATGAACATAGAAAGAAAATGAATATTTTTAATGATTCCCATTCTTATAAATTTATAAGTAGCATTTATGAATGGACTCTATGGGAAAGTGGTCAAGGTCAGCCATTACAACAAAATTTGAAATTTAAATTTTAAGATAATATTAAAAGAGTATTTTTTTCTTCTTAAATTGGGATGTTTGATCTAAAATAATTTTACTTAAAATCATTTAATACTGATTAAAAGAGATAAAGCTTACAATCTATTTAATTTGTATTGTTGGCATAAGGAAGATTTAAAGTTTCAATCGAGTTAGAAAATCTGAAAAAAAATTCTTGCTTTATAATGATATTTTGGATGTACTTTTTTTGATTTAAGGAAAATTAATTAAATTTTATAAACTTTCAAGCATAGATAATTTTAAAGTGACCAATTTCAACCAATATATTATCTAATGTGTTTATATGGTAGTGCTCATATTGTGTTGATAATTTCATTGTATATTTTATAAAAATTATAATAAAAAATGATCTTTTCGCATGTGTATTAAGATATATAAGACTGTGATATAAACAACTTATTTATAAGATCCTCTATTTTTGAAAAATGAGAGATATTTTTAAAGTTAGTGAAGAGAATTTTAAAACTAAATACAGGCATACTATATGAAGAGTTTTATAAATTTAAATTTTGATGGCACCCCAAATGTGTTATTGTTTGTAATTTAAAATACACTTATTTATTTTAAAAATCAGTCTACAATGATTTACGGCATATCTTGTATAGAATTCAAAATTAATGTGTCAACTGTAATTTTTTTACATTGTATTTTATCATGAAATATGTAACTAAGTAAAGAATTTGTTATTCGAAGTTAACTGTAAAGGTTTTAAGTGATATTTCTTATAGAATGAACATTTTGCTGGGAAACTATGCATTAATAACTTTATAACATTTTAACTAGGCAAAAATAATTCATTTTTCTAAATTATTAAATTTTGGAGATCTCAGTAAATGAAGGCATTAAGTAACAATCTTAGAGTTATTTCAATGTAATGCAAGATTCCAAGTGCATTTGACAACAATTAATTCATAAGTAATCTTTAAATGCTGTCTTTTGGCAACAAATTAAAACTCTAAGAGTTGTACAAACTCTCTTAAGCAAATAAACTTAGGGATACATAGATGTCACTTATTGTAAGCTTGCAGGCACCAGAGAAATGGAAGATGCAATTTTCAAAGTATTAACTTTAAAGTTAATTTGTTCAAATTCTTTTAATATCACTTTAACCTTTCATCCATTCAGCTCTTTGTCCACAGTATTTTATATTGTTATATTAATGAAAACTCTCTGAAAACATGTTATTTCTGAAGCGGTGAAAAATGTTCTTAATAAAACAACTCAGTATTAAAACGTGTAAGTACAAAAACAGTTTCTTTTTGCTTTTTACCATATGGTTAATTTTCTTTCCTTTTATCATGTTTGTTTTTTTGCTGTATTATTAGTTAGAGTTTAGATAATGAGCATCTTAATTTCCTCGGTATTGTACTTGGAAAAATCAAATTAGAATGCTTAAAAACATCAGGAAGACGTGAGATGTGTTCAATTACATTAATATCAACTGAAAAATGATTTACAATATCTATCATGAAAACTTTTAATTTATCCAGTTAACGTAACCTAAAATTATCTTATTTTCCAAGAATAGAAGCATTCTTATAATTGGAGAGGAGGCGGTAGAATGTCAAGTTTTCTAATAAGAAAATTAATCTCTAAGTTTTTGAACAAATATAATACTTTTCTTCCTGATTTGGAAATTACTAAAAAAAAAAAAAGAAATGCACATTTAAATGAACATAATTTCTAGCAAATAAATAAAGAACAGTTATTAAAAAGTAATTTTCATATGCATGGCAACAATTATATTTCGTAGTGGTACATAAGATGAATCTAAATTGTTTTTACAAAATGAGAGGGATGATAGTACCTATTGAGGCGAGCAATATTTATCGCAAAATCATCCCCTTTGTCGCATTCCACTTTGAAAGGCAGAAAAGAGCAAAGTCATTGCGAACCTATTGTTTGGCTTTTTTGCTCACCAGACCTTATACCCCTGGACTTTTTCTTCTAGAGGCACATGAAATCTTTAGTGTATAAGATGCCTGTGTGCTCCTCTAAGGAATTCATAGTGATAGTTGTTGTGATAGACAAAATTAACACAACACCAGGAATCTTCAAGAACATGTGTCCTTCTTATAGTGTGAAACGTGCAACGACATGCGTGGCAAACGTTTTCAGCACTTACTATGCTTTTTTTAATGAATAAATCAGAATTGCCAACTTTTCTTTCGTTTCCCTGACACTGTTGTGAGTTATTCTTGAAATTCTATTTTTATTCATTTCTGACTCTCAGAGTGAAATAGACACTGTATATCATGATTATTATTGCTTGACTCAATAAGTACTTTCTCCTCATATTTTGTAAAAATGACTCACGATGCTTTAGGTTATGAATGTTTAAATTATAATTACTCCAAAATAAACATGTATCTGTATATTTTAAAATCGTACTCAGGATTCTTCATAATAATTATTGTTCCGTATTTGCTGCATATTTTAAAAAATGATGATCAATTTATGTTAATTATATTTTTGCATAAGTAGGGGAAAGTGGGGTTAAGATCAGGTACCTGAGACTCAAAAGCCTGCTGGAGCTATACTATTCGTCCCAGAAACTGTCAGATATTTATTATATAGTCATGTACAGCATATAATTTTTAAAAATTGATAGATGCACTGCTTTATTATAAAGGATTTTTTTTCTAGAAAAAGTCATTTCACATGGTTTTACAGGTGCACCCCACTAATGGGATAAGACTGGAGGTACATGTTAACTCTGTAGGAAATTTAGAAATAACAGAATTCCAGTGAAAAAGTAGTAGGTATTTTAATTTTATGTGACGATTTAAGAATATGTATGTAATTTACAAGTGAGGGTTTTCTTCTATTGCACCGTAATTTTCGTGGGTCCAGCATAGATACGTATCAAGAAAAGAAGAGGTCAAGACCGGGTAGTACGTGGTCTTACCCCAAGAGCAGAAACAAAACAAAAAGGAACGAAACAAAGGTATCGAAACAAAAAGGAACAGCTCTACTACTAGAATAAATCCTTATTATTTCTTAGAGTATGAATCTATAGTAAACGTATAATAAGCTGGACTAAAAATAATTTGAATAACTCTAATGACCAATAAGTAAGGATAGTTTAAAAACGAAAGAACATTAGAGATTTAACATAGTGAAACAAACTTATCTACCCAGTTGCCGTGAATTTATTAGCAAATACTACTTAACTAAAGTAACAGACGCGACAGCTCTTAGAGGGCCAACTGTGTTTTTCTCAGTTTTCTTGACCATTGTCTTTGATGTGCAGGATCATATGTTCCGGTTGGGTGGTCAGCCAAAACGGAACCCCCTGTGTTTAGTCCCCGAGCATGCTTGGTACTCATTTTATCGACCCACTGAAGGGATGAAAGGTTAAGTCAACTTTCCCAAGTCCCAGGATTGAACCCAGAACCTGTGGCACAAGGGGGTTTAGCACTACCACTCAACAACAACAGAGCATTATAGTAGGCCCTTCTTCTTGACTAGTAGAAGGTAGTTGAGAGTTTTTCTGCTAGAAAATAGAATTAATTTGTATACAATGGAGGCACCCATTCTTATCCCACTCTCCCCTTAATGATGTATTCTTTTCTATGCATGTGTTTTTTTTTTCATGTGCTTTATTTTTCTAGTCGTTTTATGCAACTATTTGCTTTTCGCAGTTTCAATTGACTGTGAGACACTTTTTGCTATTACTCATTTTTAATTTTATCTTTCAAAATGTTTGCTGTATGTAAATTCATCAATATGTATATATGAGTATTTTGTACATTTATATCTTTGTGATTATTGCTGTTAAAGAATTTGGTATTGTCTATAGCAGGTATATTTTATACACATTTTACTTGAACGGTTTTGTTTGTTATGATAATTGTAATTTGAATTTCTAAATTTTAATGTTACTATATTTTTATACTTAGACTTTGGAACATGATGTAAGTACTTTGTTTTCAAATGTAATGATTGTTTCGTAAATTGTATAAAATTTGAATGGTTTTTTTTAAAACTTTATCAAATCTTTGTTGCTTATTCTTTAGACTAGGGATGGCCAAGCTGTGACAAAAGAGCCGAAAATAGCTCATTGGATTATTACTAATTACAATTTAGTATGAAAAGCTGATTTAAACACGTTTATATATACATATACACACATGTATATGTATGCACTCTTCAGGATGCATTCCTTTACGATAGAGACATTTCAAAATAAAGAATAATTATTGTAAGATGAAAATTATTTTTTACTATGCATCAATGCCTCAAAAAAAATTACGTAATTCTAAATTAGTTTTTGTTGAATGAAGAAATTAAGAAAGCTATCTCACTGATAAAAAGTAAAATAAAAAATACATTTATAATAGATTGACTAATCTAACAATTAAAATTGCTAAGAAGAAAAAATAAAAAGGATCGATCTTCTAGCTGCCATAAATTAATATAAATGGTTTAAAAAAATAATAGTGAAAAATCTATTCATTTATAGATATATACTTATAATATTTGAAGTAAATGTTTTTAAATTCAAAATCAATTAACAACAGTAGGATCCACAGAAATAGCATCAAAATCCACTGAATAGCTCACAATCAAATGAACATAATTAAAAAAATATATACATACATTCCTCAGTTGTTTAGCATTACCATGCAGTCAGTAGTGCATATATGGTGTCTTGTAACAACTGCTTATAATATATGTTTTCTAGAATTTTTTAAAAATTTTTTTAATCAAAAATGAAGTTAAAGTATACATATCAGAAGTTGAAAATTAGTGATTAAGAAAGGAAAAAACAATGATTCTACCGAAATCTAACATCAAAACTAACTTGCTGCAGGATCCGGTCAAAAAAGGATTATTAAAAACACTTTCAAGTTTCATTAGGCAATTAAACTGGTTTTGATTTTTTTTTCATTTCTTTTTCTCACTAATTCAACAAATTTTGATAGTAGTTTTATTTCTTCTTTGCATAACTTAATTTCCAACCTGTAATTCACATTGCTAGTCAACATTACAAACCACTTTTTGCTTTGTTTTTAAAATGGAATAGAAAATGCATATTAAGGGCAGTGATTAGGTAACACTCTTTGTAATGTATGTATAGTGCTCAGTCATATTGTATATTTGAATTCGGCTCATGGTATGTGATAGGTTGGTCATCCCTGCTTGAGATTATTATATTTTTTAATTGTTTTAATACTTATAGCATTATTTTTTTAGTTCATAAAGTTACTCATATTTTATAAATTTTTTTTTGTCATGGCATAAGTGTATTGCTTTAAAATGCTTAGTTCTTTTCCTTATATTAAAGTTTATTTGTAAAACTTTTGTACTGACAAGGTGGTTGTTGCAAAGTATTTTTTGGAATAAAAGTTGGTCTTATATTTGTATTTTCTTATGATTTTAATTTTTAACTGTTCATGATATTGTCAAATTTGAAGTATTTTATTTATTTATTTATTTTTAATTTTAAATTTAGTCTTTACTCAACATTTATTCTGTTAAATGAATTTTTGTTTTAAGATTTAAGTTTATTATTTTTTTTATCCTTTTAATAATTCTTTTTTAATGATGTTTATCGCTGTGATTTTCTTTCATTGTTGTTTCATAACTGTCATTTCTACCAAATCTAGTTAGTTTTTTTTTGTCTCCTGATTTATTTAAAAATTTTCTTGGTTCTTAGATTCTTAGACAATTACTTTAAGTTCCGAGAAAAAACAATATAACAACATATTTCTTTTTAACTCGTCTTATTGCTTTTTTGGGTATTTGAATAAGTAATACAGTCAAATTCATTTATAGCAAGTATGTAAAGACCAATACAATTCATTCGCTAAATTAGGTTACTCATTATACCTGAATTAGCTGATGTTTAAAAATAGTTTAATTTTTTTACGTTTCTTTTATTTAACACAGATTGGAATAATATTTGTAATTTAAAATTTTTCTACATTACAACACTCATCGCTCAAATGAATAATTGCATTTAGTGTTGTGCATCTAACCTTATTGATACATAATGATTTTATTAGTTTTAAAAAGTATTAATGGACCATAAAACACACAATTTATTGTTAAAGTTTTGTTAATAGGTAAATAATTAATGTTAAGGATAATTTGCTCACCAAAAATCAATTTTATGACTTCTTGAAAAATGCAAAAAAAAAAAAAATCTTCTACTGTTACCAATCTTTTAGTGCCAATTTCAGCCAGAAGTTTTGATTTGACGATGATAATATGATGGATTTAGAACAAGTAGGGTATTGAAAATTATTAGCCAATGATTATTCTTAATATTTTTCTAACTCTTCTATACATTAATATTTTCATATGCCTGACGCTGCAGAACTTAAAATTAATATGAGTATTTTCTTTCTATGTATTAATTATTTTGCAATCCGGATTCAATTTACGATGAAGCTGGGATAGTTTGGGTGGCAGGGCGCTGGACTCACGTTCGTGAGAACGGGAACTCGAATCTAGCAAGCCAAAAACTTCTCGTGTAGTAAATAGTGACTGGTGCACGTTAAATCTGTTGAATCACAAAGTCCTCTATGGACCCATAACAAATTATACTTATGGGGGTAGTGAATAGAAGATTGATCGTTCTCTGGTTCAGGTGAAAATTACGGGTCCTCCCTATAAAACGGGTTTGACGTATTGGTGTGGCAGAAGTCGAATTATTGACCATAGATGGCTCCACTGGAAAACAAGAACAATTGCACCCCTTGCCTTCATTGCCTACGACAATAACATATAATTTACGATGATTTTACACACAACTCTATCAACAATTAATAGTTCTTTTGACATCCGAAAATGCTTACATTAAATTGCCTTGTAGAAGTTGAAGAGCATCATTTTGGCAAACAGTAAGTCGTCGGTAGTTTTTAAAATCTGGACACAGCTCGAAATGCGAGCTAAAGAAAATGGATACAGCTCAATCATTCAATATTCTGTCTAAAATACAACAGAGAAATTACAAATCGTAACTACAAATATATTGATCCCAAGTAATAATAATAATAAGAAAACTTACCAAATAACTATTTCACTATAGTCTATGATCCGTTTATACTTGCAACTATTTTTGATTTCTCTTTCAAATCAACATCATCGAAAGAGGATAAAACAAATTATTCTATTGATAAATACCATTATTGCTGTATAAATTTGTTCAATGCTACTCCTTCAATTGGATACCTACAAGTGACGTCATCGTAGGTAAGGTAATACAACATGCGCAACATAGTTGTAATAAATAAGGCTCCTATACTAATTCTAATTCAGGGGCTCTAGTAATAAATAACGAAATATCTCTTACCATCCAACAAGCTTGGAGCATCGTGGTTTTTAAGTTTCTTTTCAGTATCTTCTCCTAAAATTATGCATACTTTGATAAGCTCTTTAAAGTCATCTCTTAAGTTAAATTCGTTTTCCAAAATGATTAGTTTCTCTTTTTAATTACGGTCTAGTTGAAACGCTGTTCTGCGTATTCTTTTCCATTTCTATTTTAATTAGCATTGATGATTATCCAATTTTGATGTTTTTTATCAAAATTTTGATGATAGTTATCCATTTTTTTTCAAATATCATTCATGATTATTCAAAGTTGTAAAGGCTTCCCGTATTTTACTTTCAAATACATTTCGCATTATTAGTTCATAGGTGTAATGACGGCATGGGAAAAATAACATATGTCTTCTTAGAAATTTCTATTTTTTAAAATTTTATTTTAAATGCCAAACGATATATAGGCTATATTATTAAAAAGTTTTAAGAATGTCATTTAGTGAAAAAGTGCTTTAAGACACAGATTTTTCGAATTTTCAAAGATGAGCGTAAAATTTTAGGACTTTAGTGTAAAAAGAAGTAAATTCATTGTGATAATGAAAAATAAATTAATGTAACAACTGGTGTTTTTTTTCGGTAAAAAATAGCATTGAAACCTTTAACACGGAGCGTAGCGTTTTTAAAAAGTGTTTAAAGGTGCTTATTTTTGACTTACGTTTTTTAAAAGCCCTTTCAAGTGCTTTTTTCATTGGGTGTTTTTAAAAAGTGCTTAATTTTTTTCCGAAAAGGAGATATTTTTTTTTACCATGTCTATTTTCGCCATGTATTATGCAAAAGCGTGCTTTTCACATTGTTCTAATCAACGTTTTCACAATACATTTCAGCGTACCGTCAGTCGGTAGCGTATGAAAGCACTGATAATTTTACAGTTTTGATGAAATATTTGCGAGTCCGCATGTGCGTATAGTGAGCTGGGTTGATTGAGATTCTTGCTCTCTCATGTGCAACTCTGTTGCATTTTTGCAAAATGTTCTCAATTTCAAGCTTCATTTTCCACCCTCCGATAT